CCTGCTGTTGTTGTGGTCTGTCAAGTTCTCTTGGCTTTAGCCAAAACTGGGTGTACCAACGTTGCTGTGAGACCTTGGGTGACTGTCCAGGTAGCTTGCTGTTTCTGTCCTTGCTGCACCTTTTGGAAGTTGCCCATCCGCACTTCCTGTCCACCCTAGTATCGTTATTTTCCTTCTCAGGTCTTGATGAGATTGAAGATTAAACCATCACAACTATTACTCTCTTCCTAGTTAGATATATTAGGTGCTAGACTTACGTTTTCCATCTTAGGACAACTCTATTGTAAACTCCGTTATGCCTTCACCCTAGGACTAGATATGTAGGTAGTTTTGTTTTCTATTTTCCTTTTCTTAGAGCACACTTGTTATTCACGGTTTTGTACATAGTTTTGTATCAAGCCTAAATCTTTTCTTTAGACTAAAAGGGGAATTGTAGTGGGATATTCACTTTGTCTCCTTCTGTGGCACTGGCCATGCCCATTAGGGGGTGGAGCCAGGGGCGAAAGTGACCTGTGGAAGGAGGTCTGAGGAAGAGCCAGGAATGCTCTCTTGCTGGCGGACAGGGACAGGAGAGCATCGGGTGGAATTTCTTGGTGTTCATCTGTCTAGGTTGTAAATTATTTCTCCCTGAATAAACATCTATTCGGACTATTTGTTTATCCTGATCCTTATTTAACCACAATAGTGAAGGAGAGAATTCAAGTCTGGGCTCACTCTTAGTTAAATGAGACTAACAGGAAGTGCTTTGATTTCATCCCTTGATATGACACCGACACATCTGAGGTGACTCTGGGTTTATTACTAATGTGCTCCAATGACTGCATAGTACCACTAAAACTGGAACAACTCCTCTTTGTTTCAGGATGAATCAGCGGGTCACTAATCAGATTATTACTAAAATAGAATCTATACAGCCATGTAGTAATACTGTGTTGATCTGAGAAAGATTCGGGCTTCCATGGTGTTCAGTTGCCTATTCTAAATTTTGGATATTTTCTCACAGCTTTTCTATTTAGTTCTAATCACCCTTTATACATTAACTGTGCAGGGTCTGCTTAAACTGTAATCATATACATTTGTATATATTGAATTATATGTGTGAGAGAGATATCAACTATAAAAAAGCACCCATACACAAGTGAATAATTTAAACTTCAAAATTTAGAATACAGAACCTAGTTAGGGCTTCAGAAAGTAAAAGTGAATTATGTTAAGTTTATGTAACTCTCACAAAAGGGAAGTGTTGATTGGGATTTTATTAATCTCAATGCTGATTCCAGTCCAAACAGAGTTTCTCTGAAGCCAGTAGCATGTTGGAAATTTCCACAACATGAGAAGCACATCTTGTTTGATAATATTATTTTAAGGTGTGTTACTTTTGTTTATGTTGCATTTGTTTAATTCTGTGATGCTCTGTGTACCTGTCAAAAACACCCGATGGTCTAATAAAGGGCTGAACAGCCAATAGCAAGGCAGGAGCAAGGATAGGCAGGGCTGGCAGGCAGAGAGCATAAACAGAAAGAAAAGGAGCAAGCAAAGAGAGAAGCAGGGGAGGAGAGGGCCAGAGGCCAGCTACCCAGCCAGCCCTAGAGTGAGAATGAAAGTAAGACATGCAGAAGTAAGAAAAGGAAAAACACAGACGCAAAAGGTAGCTGAGATATTTTAAGTTAAGAAAAGCAGACAAAAAACAAGCTAAGTCTGGGCACTCATAACTAAGAATAAGCCTCCATGTCTGATTTTCTTGGGAGCTGTGGTGCCCCCCAAAAGAACCAAAAAGCCCTAAAGAATAAATTGCAAAAATAACCATCTCAGAAGCCTGCCATTACTGGCTCTTCAGAGTGCTTTTCTTGAGCATTCTACACAGGGCCAAACTAATTCTCCTTGGAGCATAAGGTCAGATCAGTTCATGGCTGGATACAGTACCTGCTATCCTTATTACAGCTGATATAAGAAGTGCAATTTCAATAAAGGAAGAAAAAGCCCTAATATAATACAGCTAGTCAAGGAATGAATACCGCTTCTTTTTCAAAAGGATTGAATTTCTTTTCCAAATCATTATACCGTAACATGCAAATGTGGTTGGTGTTCAGTCGGGTCCCACAACTTGTTTCACAGGGGTGGTGTGAGTCTTAGTAAGCTGGTGAACACATTGGATGACCCTGCAAAACATATTTCTGAATTGTTGTATTAAATATAAATTGAGAATACAGAAAACTCAGCCTGGCTGTCTCGGATTTAAAAAAAAAAAAAAAAAAAAGGAGGGATAAATCAACTATTTAAGTGAAAAGTACTGCTCATACCCTCCATATATTAAAAAATTAGATTTCCTAATACAAAGATGCTTTTTGCCTGATAGACATATGTCCAGCAATTTGAAGATTAGCTGAAGCCTACAGGATTATACAATAATTAAAGTATAAAGTTTTTTAAAGGAAGAAAGCATATTGGATATGGTAATGCCATAATTCTAGCACTTGGGAGGTTGAGGGGTAGAGATCACACATTCAGAGCCTTCCTCTGAGAGGAGTCGTGAGGGAAGAGAGGGAATGAGGAAGGTGAGGATGGGAGAATATATGAATGAATGAATGAATGAATGAATGAATGAATGAATGAATGAATGAATGAAAGAAAGAAAGAGAGAGTATGAGCCTACAGAACAGGAGAAAATACTTGCAAATCATGTAAGAGGTTTACATCCAGAATACATAGAACTCTTACAACTCAAAGTAGACAAGAGAATCTATTTTTAAAATGAACTAAGAATCTGAAATTTTTTTAAAAGAATATATATGTATGTATGTATGTGTGTGTGTGTGTGTATATATATATATATATATATATGACCAGTAAGAATGTGAAAAAATCAATACCATTAGTTATCAGAATACTACAAGCTAGATCATGAAGCTACTTTATATATGCTATATAGCACAGTAATTTTTTGCATTATGTCATGGTCTCCTTATGTACCATATAGACTTAGAACTCACTATATAGACCAGGTAGGCCTCGAACTCACAGAGATTTGCCTGCCTCTGCCTCATGGATATTGAAAAGTAAAGGAAGAATTTTTAAAAGATGGAAAATAATGTGACATACTGAGAAAAAGGAATCTTTATCCATTAGTGCTGAGTTAAAACCAAGTGGCTTTAGAAAACAGATCTATGGCTTCTCATCCTGAGGTAGCTGCCCACACAAAAATCAAACGAAATGCTCACATAATAACTTGTATATAAATGTTCATGGAGCAAACAGCCCAAATGTCTGTCCATTGACTGAAGAAAAATAAAGTATGATACATTTATATTAAATGTTATGTGGCAATAAAAATGCTCTAATATAGATTGATCCTGAAAATACCACACTAAATCAAAGTAGTCACAAGAGGTTATAGTAAAAGATATTGAATAAGTGAATTCATAAAAAGTAGTTTAAGTTGTTGCCAAGAGCTGGGAGAAGATAAGAGAAACTGCTTCTGAGTAGAGGGTTTCTTCTGGGGCTGAGCAGCACTTCAGGGGGTGCTCTGAGCAGATAGCGATGGCTCAGCAGTTAGAGCAATCATAGCTCTTGCTAAGGACTTGGGTTCCGTTCCCAGTACCCATATGAAGATTCATAATCCAATGTCCATTTCTGACCTCCTTGGGCACTAGGCAAGCATGTGATACACATATATACTCGGACACAAACACTCATAAAATTTTTAAAAATGTTTTTTATGGTATGAATCATATTTCAATAAAAAGTAAGAAAACAACCAAATAAAATCTTACACTTTTTCAACTAGCATGAGTTTTGAAGCAGCTGGATGAACTGACCATTTTCAGCATTAATGTCATCAGGGCTGTGGAAGAAATGTCTTCAGTGATGATTTCCCTTTGGAGACCTTAGTGCTGATACTATAACTGTAAATGCGTATTTGTAAAAGCAACTTAATTCTAGAAAGTTTCAGGCCAAAGACACAGGTATCTCGGTCTTTTAAGGATGTTTCCCTGGGGGCTGGAGAGATGGCTCAGCAGTTAAGAGCGCTGGCTGCTCTTCCAAAGGTCCTGAGTTCAATTCCCAACAATCATACAGTGGCTCACAACCATCTACAGTGTTATCTGTTGCCCTCTTTTAGCATGCAGATAGAGCACTCATATACATAAAATAAATTTTTTTAAAAAAAGGATGTTTCCTCAAACACATGGCTCTTTTGAGAAGGACTAAAGGTACCATGGTGTGGTGCTTTCTATATTGTGTGGCTATTCACCATTGTCCATATATCTACTTATGTCCTTTTAGATTTGAATTGGAGAGCCCCCAAAGTATGGGAATTAAAGCCCCTTTATATCACAATATCCTAGCTCAAATAAACAACAGATATTTGAATTAAAAAGCATTAGAATGTTAGAATTGTAGAGGTAGCGGCAGTGAATAACTCAAGCCTCTCAATGTGAATGCACTGAGTTAAGCTGGCCTACTCCAGAAATGTATCTGATTTTTTTTTTCTTTTAAGTTTTGAAAGACAGGCTCAAATACTTGTTTAAGAAGTTAGCTGTTGCTTTAAAAAAAAATCAGTTTAAATTGTCATACCAAAATGATCAACAATAGGAAAATGGTTCCAATAAATAAAGGGGAAAAAAACTCTATTATCATATACCTTATCCAACATCAAGTTGCCTTAACTTCCTTGATACCAATAGAAGGAAAAAATGTTTTCAAAAACAAATGTACTATAAAAAGCTCAGCTAAGATGGGATAGGAACCTTAAATATGGCCATCAACAGCACAATCTTCCAGTTGCCATCTCAGCCCAGGTGCCATCTACAGAATGGATGGCCTTCTTCAGATGGAGTCCTCCATAGTATTCATTACATGTAAGGTATTTCATTATTTCTGTCTTCCTGAGAATGAGAAATGACTACAGCCTAGCAAACTAAGCCAGGGGTCTTAGGTGCTGACGACGCAGAGTTCTCTAGAGTATGCGGATGAGGGACTTAGAGCCACCTCGTGTTCCATACCTGGAATGCACTGTGCACTGGCTTCAGTGGTTATGGTTGGAGCAACAGGGGGCTGCTGTTGACTGGAGCTCACTTCAGGCTCTGTGTTAACCGAGGGAGAAAGGGCTACCTCACAAGATGACACTTGGCTAGGTAAATGAGGCAGGAACTCCTCCGAAACAACCTGCTCATCCTGTCCAGGCAGCTGAAGGGCAGACAAAGGGATACTGATCTGTTTGTTGGGATGTGATGTGCTCACAGGCATCTGCATGGTCACCTGGTGGCCGGTGCCATGAGTGCCAGGGGGTCCTCTGTTTGGTGAAGCCAGAGACACCCTAGCAGTTTTTGGGATGATCGGCCTGGAGATCACAGAGGGGGATGCGGACATAATGTGTGGGTCTAGCTCCGCACTGATGGCAGACGTTACATGGGAAATCAGTTTAGCAGACCCTACACAGGAGGGACCAGCATGAGTTTGAAGCTTGGGCTTTGCCATCTGTGTCAATGAAAGAGCTGGTCCATCCACTCCTCCAGTCAGCTCCGCATTTGCCACAATGTAGTAATCTTCTGGAATCTCTTGTTTGATTTTCTTGATGATGACATCATTACTGCACTCATCAACCATCTGTCCCTGGGAACCTGAATGGATGGAAGATGGGACTATTCCTGGCCTTTTGCGAGCAATGCTTTGAGGCCTCTGAGTTTGGGGTTCAAAGTCACTGTCCTCATCTGTAACAGAAGATTCGCAAACCATGTCAAACAGTGTGTTTTCATCTTCATACTCCTCAACAGCTTCGTCCAGTTCAGAGGGCTCACTGCAGTAAGAGAAGTCACAAGAGTCTCTGGTACGGTTACAGTCCAGCTTTGCCTTCACAGGTCTCCCAGGGTATCTTTCCACGGGGCTAGTCTGTGTCTCAGAAGGAACCCCAATTATACTGGGACTATCAGAATTAAAACTTCGGTTGTCCTGGAAACAAACCCTCTCTTGGGACCCAGCTCTGCAAGTAGCTGTTAGTGGCCAGTGGTAAGCATGGCCAGCACTACAGCCCCACATTGCAGTCAGGTTCCCATGGGAACCTTCAGAAAGCAAGTGTTTCAGGTTTGGAATGAGGCTGCAAATGGTCCCATGGCTGTGGGCCCAGCTGACCAATTTGGACAGATTCTCAGATGAGGTATGAAGACAATCCTCCATGTTACAGGATCAGCAGCGTCTTTCCTAAAGGGGAATAATCAAAATGAGAAGCTGTTATTACCGAAGACATTCCCACATAACTATTTCTTTCCAACCATAACCACTTGGAATAAAAAAAAAAGAAATGTAATTCTAAGATGCATGTAGATACCACCACTGCACAGGACAGGAATGGGAAAGGTGAAAACTGCTGATTGTCCACACAGAATGGAATTTGAAGGAAAATGTGTTAGTTTCCCTTATTGCTATAACAATTCCTGCAGAGAAGAAAGGAAGCAATGAAGAGGGAGAACTGGGTAGCAGCGGGGGCATTCTTCATAGTGTATTTTCCTTCTGTAGTGACAGGAGCTTCACTTGCTCAGTCCTTCATAAAACGTGTGCACTGTCTTCATTAACCAAGAGCACTGTGCTTCTAATGTCACCATCTAGTAAACTTCATTACTGGAGGAGAGCTGAAAACAAAGTTTGGATCCACTGTAGGACAAATGTCAGAGTGGAAAAGTCAATCCGCCGGACAGTAGAAAACAAGACACGTGAGAACCAAGGAGAGAATGAGGCACTAAACTTTGCAAGCCAAGGAAGAAAGTCTTCGAAGGAAAGGAGGAACAAGCTAGAAGGAAATTTGCTGTGAGGGCAGCCAGTGGGCAAAGCAGCAAAGACAGGCAGCCTGGGGCTCTCGCCATATCAGAGGCATTCCGAATTCCTGAAATGACACCGTTCATTCCAGGCAGAGGTAAAAGGTTAGAGGCACAGTCTACCTCCTGAGGGCACCAAGGACAAACAACTGAAACAGCACTGAATCAGAATGGAGAGGGGATTGGAAAGGCGCAGGTGAGGGAAAGGCTGCACAGGGACACATGAAGACCTTCATGTGTGCTTTATCTGCCCTGGTCACTTTCAAACCCTGAAAATTATTTCACATGGTGTTTTTAATACCTGATACGGATGATGGGATTCTCAGCATTACAGCATTACCAAGTGACATGTCATTAAAAGTTAAAACTGAAGAGACCTGGCTGGAGGAGTTTGTGTGTGAGATATGATTAGAAAACAAGCTGCCATAGTTTGTAACACTGCCCTGTACGCTCAGTTAAACAAGAGACATTCCACACATCAGCAAGCTCAAAATCAGAAACACACTAACTGTAGCAGACCTAATATGGTCTTCATAACATTAATCTGTTCCTGGCATCTTTTAGAGATTAATTCTTTAAAATTGTGTGTGTGCAGATATGTGCATGTTGAGTGATGATGCCCTGAAGGCCAAAGGTACCAGATCCTTCCAAAGCTGGAGTTATAGGTGACTAATCATCTGACATGGGTGCTGGGTTATAATTTGGGTTCACTACAATAGAACACACTATTAATCCCTAAACCATCTCTCCAGCCTCAAAGGTATAACCTGACTGGCTTCAAACTTAGGATCCTCTTATCTCTGCCTCTTAAGCATACCCTATCATTGTGTACTAACACAACCAGCCAGCGGAGTAACAGCAGAGAGATTTCATCTCGAGTCTTGTCACTGTCACATTAACACTGACTTGAATTTTGCTGATATTACAAGTTTACTTAAGTTTTAAATTTGTCTAGGCTTTTGCCTGCATCAGAACTATAAGCTCTTACAGGTACATTTATTTTTCTTTTCAATAAACATATTTTGAAGCTCCCAACCTAGTCTGGGCCACTAGCCCAATATCTAGTTATGCCCTCACTGTAGTGAATAAACACCATAGACCAAACGGACTTGCCATTGCTATTCTCGTGAGAGGCAAGACCCCCAGAAACCAGTATTATTAGGAGCGCACCAGGGGAGAGGAAGGCAACCAGAAGTCCAACAAGATGCAACAGGTATTTGCAGCAGCCATCAATCACCCTTCCAGTGTAAGGTAACCAGTCACGCACTCACAGAATTTGGTCATAGTGGGGAAAGGAGGCCACAAAACTTCCAAGGACTTTCACCAGACTCCAGGTCTGAAGGACAGAGGAAACATCAGTTACACTCTGTAGGAGGCAGACAAGAAAAGGGAAGGCCTAGCAGGTACAAGCTGATTCTTTTTCTATCAGGGGATCCTGACCAGCTAGGATTCCTGTTTGCTCTCTCTAAGTGATGGGCTCCAAAGTCCTGGCAAGGAGCCCTCTGTTGGAGGCTGCCTGATCCTCAGGCAGTAGTCAGGGTTCATTCCCACCTTCAGCCTGTTCTACCTTCTGGAGCCTCTTAGCTCCCACTCAGTGGGGTGTTGAGCAAATGCCTAGGACCCCAGTAGGCAGTAGGATCCTCATTAGCTGCAAGGAAACATTATCCTTTAAAGACTGAAGTCAGACTTGGTTTGCTTGGTGACCTCTGCTCATAGGTGCAATCTGTGCACCTGATGGTCAAAGGCAAAGTGTTCACTGAAATAAGACCACATAAAAGAATGCAAATACTTGGGGTTCCACAGGTCACAATGAAAGGGATTGCACCAAGTAGTGGTGCATGCCTTTAATCCTGGTCTACAGAGATAGTTCCAGGACAGCCAGGGCAACACAAAGAAACTGTCTTGAAAAACCAACAGAAAGAAAAAGGGGGTGGGGCCAGAGTAAGAGGGGAAGGGACGAAGGGAGGGAGGGAGAAGGGAGGGGACAGGAAAGGACAAGGACAGAACAGGACAGTGGAAAGGAGAGGGGAGAGGAGGGGAGGGGAGAGAAGGGAAAGGGTAAGGGAAAGGAAAAGGGAAGGGACTGTGCCTTAGGCACCCACGGGTGGGTTATGGACTGCCACTTGCTCGGCTATGTGATGTGAACTTGTGCTGTATAGTCCTTGCTATATTTGGATCCCTTCTTTCTACCTGCAGCCACTGCTGCTGCTGCTGTGTGTGTGTGTGTGTGTGTGTGTGTGTGTGTGTGTGTGTGAAAGCAGCACTGTGGAATCGCTGAGGGATGTGGCTCAGGTACGCAATGTCCTGCACTACCTGCTTCTTACACAGGAGCTGCATCCTCTGGCTCTTCCTGCTTCCCCCTCGGCCTCTGTATTCAGCTCTGCCTCTTCACCCTCCACTCCTCTGCCTTCATGGTAGCAGATACATACAGAATGACCTCATCTTCATTCTGCGTGTGTGCATGTATGTTTATGGTGTATGTGCTCATGTGGACATGTACATGTGGGTATAATGCGTGAGTATGGATGACAAAAGTTGACACTGAGCTTCTTCCTCAATCACTTCTCTACCTTATTTATTTTATGTGTATCTTCATCTTGTTTGCATGTATATCTGTGCACCACAATGGAACCTGAGTCCACTGAAAGAACAGCCAGTTAACTGCTGAGCCATCTCTCCACACCCTGCCATAGTTTTGAGACAGAGATTCTCACTGAACCAGCTCACTGACTTGACTAGGTTGTCTAACCAATGCACTCCAGGAACCCTTCTATCTCTGTACCCCTATCCTTTCCCCCCAGCACTGAGATTACAGTGTGTGCCATCAAAGCTGGGTGCTGAGGATACCAACTGAGGACCTACCTTATGCTTGTGCAGCAGGCATTTCACCAACTAGGCCATCTCCCCGGCCCCAGTTACATGTCTTTAAATAGCAATATAACTAAACTTACCAACCACGGACCAAAGAATAAGGATGGATCACAGGAATAACCTTTTTCAATATCTGAAAAAATGTTTTACCGGAAACAATATTCAGGTCTAAAAGCCTTATGTCACTTTTCCAAAACCAGAAAATGCTAACTAGTAGTCAACCAGCAGCGAAAACCTGGCTTGCAGCTTGCATCAGACACCTCAACCTGTTGGATAATCTTTGTAAGTTCTAACTCTTCAAAGCCTTTTTAAAATGGCTTGTTTTAAAACTACCAGGTCAGCCAGGCGTTGGTGGTGTACACCTTTAATCCCCGCACTCGGGAGGCAGAGGCAGGCGGTTCTCTGAGTTCATGGCTAGCCCAGCCTACAGACGAATTTCAGGACAGACAGGACTACCCAGAAAAACCATATCTTGGAAAGCACGCACAAATAAATAAATAAATAAATAAATAAATAAATAAACAAACAAATAAATGAACAGTAAGAAAATTAAGCATGCCATAAATAGATTAAACCACAGTTGTGTATTTCAAAAGTTGACATAGTTAGATTGTCTCCTAATCCATCTGTATGTACAGTGCAATGCCAACCACAAAGGCATTGCAGGTCATGGAAAGTATTTTTGGAGCTTTATTGTAGAGATAATAGCAAAGCACTATGTGATTATAAGCAAGAGAGTGACTTTAGTCATTCTGATTACAGGAGGAAAAGATAAAACTAGAAGCAATTCAAGTGAGATGTAACAATAACCAGCCTCAAAGAGTGACAAGTGAGCAGTGGAAGAGAACAGATCTGAGCACTAAGTAGGAAAAGGATAAGGAACTGGGGTTGGAGGAGGAAGAGAGGAGACAGCTCTGGTGTTGCTCACCCTCTCTCTGAGATACCATACTAACTAGTTTATGCCTTTGTCAAGAAAACCGACCAAGGCTGGAGCCACAGCTCTAGAGGATCAGGGTTTAGTTCTCAACACCTAAATGGTGGCCTACAACAAACAGTCCTTAACTATAGTTCCAGAGGATCCAGTGCCTGCCTTTTGGCCCCCACAGACACACATGCAATACACTTACATACATGCAAAACACTCATACACATAAAAATAAGTAAAACCTTAAAAACAAATAAAAAATTCTCAATGAGTCTAATTATTGTCTTAATTTTTACAGTTTGCACTGAATAGAGGTCTTCATTCTAAAGCATCAGAAGGGGATAAAGACAGTTACAAAGGCACTGACTGCATTTATTCCAACTTTCCCACTAGCTGCATTATCAGGTCACATTTAAATGTGCTGCTCCTACATTCTCTGACACAGGATGTGGAGGAATAAGCCTCCTTTGCTTTTGCAATCAACAGTCCTACCCAGCAGTGGAGCTAATAACTCCCAATGGCCAGCACAGCAAGGTATCCCCGAAGTTTCAGTGACACTTTTAACTTGGGGTAAGACCTGCTCAGAAGGATGG